ACCGTCATGAAGCGTATAGTGAAGATCCACTATACGCTAGAAGATACCCAATATGTCGATGACTTTATCGTATTGGATTTGGATGACAAATTTGAAGTCATCCTTGGAATACCGTGGCTCAGAAGGTACGAACCACGAGTAAACTGGCAACATCGAACAGTAACGATGCCTGCCGCTTGTTCATCAGATGGCCATCTGATGAACGTTTTGGAGCGTCCACAAGCGTGTGGATGTACTACGAGTGAGTGCGATGGCCTCACTTGTGGTACGGTCGTTAGTACGACTGCACAAAACCTTAGTGTACCAAACGGTTACACTTCGGAGCAAATTTCCGGCGGCTGTGAGGAAACACAGGCTGCGCCGAAGGTCCACCACTCGAATAAGTCGAGTGGACTGAGACAAAGATGTATCCCTAGTGGGGAACATCTAGAAGAGAAACAATCGGTCGCTCAGGTTAAGCGAAACGATAATCCTAGATCGACTGAAGAGTCTTTCGTAGAGGATCTCGCTGTGGTTGCGCAACCCCAGCTAGAGGAAGTAAAGGGAATAAGTCCCGATATTACATATACGGCGGAAATAAGTTCCCCAAAACCCGTGGGAATAAGTCCCCGGGAAGCCGAATGAATAAGTCCTTCGAGGCCTGAGGGAATAAGTCCCCAGGAAATGACAGAGACATTGAATGTCATAGTCAATAACGGATCACGTGTAGGCGCTTATAAACTTGATCTGATTGCGTCTCCGAAGTTGACTTCGGATATCACTCAGTTGCCAACGCTCGAATATAAAAGGTTCTTGCGTGATCTGCGTAGTGGCAAAGTCAAGCAGATCTGCGTACTCGTCGCTGACGACGATTGTGTAACCGACATAAGGTCAGCAACAGTGTTTACTGAGAACGAGAGAGTTCTCAGTAGTTTATCAGCGGACGAGAGTGTCCTAGATGAAAAGACACGAATTGAGCGATATGACACCCAATCGTGGGAATCGCTCAAGAAAAATCCTCTCTATGAAGATTTGGTTGAATTCAAATATGTATTCCCTGAAACTGTTCCGTGCGAATTACCGAAGGATAAAGGTATTCGACACGAGGTAGAGCTTAAACCAGGCTCGAAGTACTGTGTCATGAAGCAGTGGCCACTGCCTCGTGAACAAGTACTTGCGATCGACAAGTTCTTTGCCGATCGTTTAGCTGCGGGCCATGTGAGGGAATCAACTTCCCCACATAGCTCTCCGACCTTCTGTGTGCGAAAAGCAACAGGAGGGTGGCGGATAGTGCACGCGTTCAACAAATTGAACGCTGCAACGGTACCGGCTCAGACGCCGATACCGAGGAAGGACGTAATCATTGATGGTATGTCAAAGAGTACCATCTTTTCGTCCATGGATTTGATGGATGGCTTCTATCAAATCCTTATGCGGGAACGGGATATACCCTATACCGCAGTTAGCACGCCTAGCGGCATGCTCTGGGAATGGCTAGTAATGCCACAAGGGCTCAGTAATGCCCCTGCCACGTTCAACAGATGTGTATCACATCTGTTGAGACCAGTACGAGAATTCGCGCCGAGTTATTTCGATGACGTATTCATCCATAGTCGAGCTTTGGATGGAAAGTCGGACGTTGAGGTTCACAGGAACCACGTCCGACAGGTTCTTACAATCATGCGAAAGCATCAATTGTATGCTAACCTCAAGAAGTGTATATTTGCAGCAAGCGAAATACCACTTCTTGGGTGCATCGTTGGTAAGAACGGTGTACGTCCTGATCCCGAAAAAATCAAGGCGATCACCGACTGGCCTGTGCCGGTCGATGTCAAAGGTCTTCGAAAATTCCTTGGGCTAGCGGCGTATTTGCATAAGCATTCACGCAATTACGCCGAGATGACTGTGCACCTCTCTCGTTTGTTGAAAAAGAACGAGAGGTGGTTATGGAACGCTGAATGTCAACGCTCCTTTGAGGGTATCAAGCAGAGCTTGATACAATCCCCAGTCCTAGCAATAGCCGATCAGGACAGGCCATTTCATGTGGTCTGTGATGCCAGCGATTTCGCAATCGGCTGTGCATTAATGCAGTACGACCTAGAAGGCGTTGAACGCGTCGTCTGCTATCAGTCGCGTCAGCTGCAACCAGCTGAGCGGAACTATCCAGTGCATGACAAGGAACTCCTTGCCATGAAGTATGCACTCGCGAAGATTAGAGTCTATCTATTAGGAGATAGACCCTTCATTGTTTATACTGACCATGCGTCATTACGCACGGCAGTGAACAGCCCGCACCTTTCACAACGAATGGCGCGGTGGTTGTCATTCTTTGCGGAATACAACTTTACGGTCGAGTACAAACCAGGACGACTTAATGTCGTCGCTGATGCACTCTCACGTCGTCCCGACTTTGAAACAGTCGCGAAACCCAACAGTGAGACAGTCACTGTTGCGGTTATGACGTCCTCAGTCCCATCTACAACGTTGTATGATGATGTGAGGCGGGCATACGCCCAAGATGGTGAGATAGTGAAGTTGTTGACACATCTCTCACAACCATCTCGAGAATCGTTGAAACGATTATCGTCTGCGTATCGATCTGCATCAGATCGATACACTACTCACAACGGTTTACTGTATTATACAGCCGTTTCTGGTGACACACCACGTGTTGTCATTCCAGTTGATACTGATATGCGTTTGCGGATCATGTTTGAGTATCACGATGCTCCTATAGGAGGACATCGTGGCCGGGAGAAAACATATCTCACGGTAAGTCGAGACTTTTACTGGCCCCGCCAGTATCAGTTTGTGCGCAAGTATGTTTGCGCATGCGAAGTCTGTTAGCGAGTGAAGTCAAGTCCTTCACTGCGTGCACCTTTACAGCGTCTACCAGTTCCGTCAGAGTGTTGGGAATCCATCTCGCTGTAATTCGTCTTCGGGTTACCCAAAGACGCACGCGGGAATACGGGTATTCTCGTATTTGTTGACAGATTCAGCAAAATGGTACACCTTGTGGCTGTACCAGAGACAATCACGGCAAGTGGCTGTGCTTGTGTCTTTATCGACACCATCTTCCGACTTCATGGGTTGCCCCGTGAACTCGTATCAGACAGAGATCCACTATTCACTGCTGATTTCTGGCGTTCCGTGTTCAAATCACTCGGAACGCGCTTGAAGATGTCAACATCTGATCATCCAGAGTCAGATGGTCAGACGGAACGTGCCAATCGTGTCCTTGAAGAGATACTTCGAGGATACGTACACTCCTTTAAGAGTTGGAGTGAGTTTTTGCCAATGGTAGAGTTTGCCATCAACAACTCGGTGCATGCGTCCACGACACATACACCGTTTTACGTGAATGGCTTGCGCCATCCGCGTGTACCCACCTTACTAGAGTGTAACTCTGGTTTAAGGGGGGGAGGGACTCGCGCGAGCAAAAACCGATTTGGTTCACGCTCATCACGCTCTGACGAAGAAGTCATTGCGTTTGATGCCGATATCGATAACATCGATGTCGAAGAAGTTGATGCCAGTGAGAGTGCGGAAGCCCTCACTGAAGAAAAGGTTGATGTTGCTGCAGTGCGCTCACAGCGCACTGAAGCCAACGAGTCAGCAGATGAGTTCATACTGGCTCGTGAAACGGTAGTCCGTTTTGTGCAAGACTCCATCGCCGAAGCGGTGGATAAGCAAAAGCAAAACGCTGACAAGAATGGAAGGGCAAACACTCTTTTATTTAATAAAGGTGACTTAGTCCTACTGTCTACGGTTAATCTACCAAAGCATGTAGTGACTAACTTGGGTAGCAGTAAACTACTACCCAAGTACATTGGCCCATTTCGTGTATTGCACCGCCTAGGCAATGCATACACGATAGAGTTACCACGTAAGATGCGAACGCATCCCACGTTTTACGTTGGTCGGCTTAAGCCGTACCATCAGTACGCTGCTTCTTCCGATGAAGAACGCCCTTGCGCTCAAGCATCTCGCAGAGAGCCTTGTGCTCCCGATGGTGGGCATCGAAAAGGGTCTGAAGAGCAGTTATCTCATCCCGAGACCGGTCAATATCCCCAACGAGCTACCCTTAGCTCGTCACGAAGAGATGTCAGAGATCTCTCGTTCTCAAGCTGAGCAAAGGCAAACTCAGCTCGATGCTTTAAGGCAGCGTCCGCCATTTGGAGACGCCTATTCCGCTCATGTTCGAGATCGTCGCGTAACCCTTGCGTTACGCGATCAAAGAAGCTCTCGGGAACACACCGATCCACATGATCGTTTGGAGAGCGTCTTTCCTCCTCCTCCACCTCCATTAGAGGACTCTCGCGGTGGCCAGCGCTATCTAGTTGAGCAGCTGTTGAACCACCGCGACGTGAACGGACGTCGGACGAGTTGTCTCGTCCGGTGGCGCGGCTATCCCCCGTCCTGGGATTCTTGGGAGCCCCGCGCCCAACTGATGATCGACGTACTGGGTCTGGTTGAGCAGTACGACGCGGCACATCCTGTGCCGCAGAAGGAACGCAGGAGAAAGTCTTCCCGGCACGGTCGTAAAGGGATTTCAGGTTGTCAATCCCTTCGTACATCTCAGTAGAGACACGTACGCGCCACCACGGGCTGGTAAGGAGGTAAGCCTCCTTAGGTGCTCGTGCAGAGTTGTTCACACAACATGGGCACGAGTCTCCCCAAGAGAGGCAGGGTAATCCTTTCTCCCTTGACAGACGATGCAGCTTGTAGCGTGCACCTGTCGGGGTTCGCTTTTCAAACTTATCACGAGCTTTGATAAGTTTGTCGTTCCAAGCGTCACGACCTACATCCTCAAGGTTATGGATGTAAGCGTTCCACGCCTGAAGTAGTGAGGGACCATCACGTTTGTGATTCCACTGTACCATCGATGTCTAAAGAAAGCATCGATGAAGAATTCATTCTCAGCGCGATAGTTCTTCGCGCTGGGGTCAAGGTGATGGATCCTTGACGGATCGAACAATCGTGTTCGATAACGATCACTCGTCGTCGCCGACAAGTGATCCATGACGGATTTTGGAGCCATCCATGCCTTCTTCTCGGGAGCGAGACGCAAGACATTGCGATCCCGCTCTTCCTGCGATGTGCCGACAGAAGTACTGGCACCTCGTTGCGAAGTGGTGTCCATAGGAGAACCGACACCACTGTTAGCGCCCGAGTCTCGCGACCTCGAGCGCCTTCGCTTTGGCGATGGTTCATCTGATTCATCAGATGAACCAAAGATGCTACGACGCAAAGCATCGTCCATGCCACGCTTGGCAGGAGGCTTGGATTCAATCGCCGTCGATACGGATCCGTCTTCCGTATCAGGAGAGTACGAGACACCGAGCTCGTACTCTGTGAAGACATGAGTGTCTTCATGACCAGCGCCTGCATCACCAAGTGACACAGGCTGGGTCGCTTCAGCAACCGATGAGACATCAGTTGCTGTTGGTTTCTGCTTCGGCGTCCGCACAGAGACGTGCGGACGCGCTCTCGGCGGCCTTGCTCGCGCATCGCATGGGCTTGTTTACCATGCGATGAAATGTTGGAAAGTGGACGCGGACCAACAAGTGCAAACCCTGTCCCAAATGATTTGGGACGAGTATCCATTTAGTCAATCAGTCGCTAAAGTGACTGATGGTTAAGGGGGGGGGTGATGTAACGGGGTGGATCGTTACATAACAATTTATAAGAAATTGTTAATAGAACTATAAGAGTTATATTCTCAGAATATTGTCATAAGGACAAATATTCTGTAGCACTTACGAGTAGTTCCTAATTAGTTGATATAGGCCATTATATCAACCAACGAAGACGCGCCACGACAGACGCACGCAATGAGTGGTGAGCAGATAATTGATTTACACATTTGTATTTAGACATAGTTAGATGAAGATAAATAGTGATTTATTGCAGACATTAACTATACTAAATACAGTTCTACTTTAACCAAGTACTCGCTTCTTCTTACCGTCTTCCTCTGCACGTACCAGTGTACGTGAAGTTCCGAGGCACCGCCTTATTCTGTCATCAGAATAAGTAGCTTGTACTGTCACCAGTACAAGCTTCAGGGTGACCCGTTACAGACAGCGTCAGTCGGACGAGAAAAATTAACCTAAGGAGCGTCCTTATGCCAAGTCTGACGCCATTTATTATCCCGCTGAGGCCCACAAGGTTTACTCATGGGGACAGGCAGGATAAGGTTCCAGATGGGTCGGACCGGTTACGCGCAACAGTAACACTGAATACTAGAAAATCGGGATAATGTTCGGATTGGAAGATCCCGTTACACACCGTCGTAAAGTCGCAGAAACGCTGTAAAGTGGAAAAGCAGGATACGTTACGGATGGGCTGTACCAGTTACACCCCGCAGTAACGCTGTGGTAACAACGATGTAACAACGATGTAACAACGCAAATCGGCCGTTTACCGGAGAAGCAGGATAAGGTCCAGATGGGCAGGACCGGTTACCCCCGCAGAAACGCTGGAGTAACACTGGAAACTGGAAAGGCGAGGTACGGACAGATAAAATGTACAAAGTACCAACCGCAGCCACACCGGATACCGTGTAGACGTAAATGAAAGAACCCAGCTGAAGGCCATAAGAAAATCAAGGAAGACGGGTGTTGCGGCTATAGTGTCTTGGGCACCTAAGCAACCACCGGTAAAAGTTACCTGAATACCTGAATTCAGGTGGCAGTAAAGCTTACGTTTGTGTGTTCTCACCCCTCCACGTAGCTTAAACTTTCAACGACCATGCCCGTTCGGCCTAGCGTCCGGGTACGTGTTTCCAACTGACACCTCTCGATGCTAATGTCGTACAACAAAAGTAGTTGAAGTCAAACAGTCGACTTCTTTCAAAGAAATGTTAGCGCAAACTCGAGTCACTAAGCAGTAACGAGCTCCCAGTTAAAATCTGTAGGCGCCTAACTGTCTAAGTGAGCAGGGGGTCGGAGGCTAAAGGCTTTTACTAGACACGGCCCGAAGGGAGGTAAAGAGCGAAGGCTTGCGAGTCGAACGGGAGTGAAACATCGAGCGTGGGCTTGTCTTAGTCACTTGTTCAATAGCTGGCAGATTGAGGAGTGTGAAAATTAATGAGAGAAACATTTGAAGTGTCCGCGATCCGACAATATAACGAAGTTTCTGAACAATACGGTAGATGAGATATGCCGCCGGAACGGTATCACGCACCAAAAGAACCGTTCTGTATAGCCCTCAAGATGATGGAGTGGTGGAACGTATGAATCGTACCACCATGGAGATGGCACGGAGCATGTTACACTACAAGTGTGTGTCGACAAGATTGTGGGCTAAATCTGTAACTTCAGTAGTATATCTTATCAATCGTTCCAGCAACACGGCATACGCGTACTCGACATCTTACGAGTCGAATTTCAAGGTGAAGCCTTACATAGAACACTTGCGCGTGTTTGAATTGCAGGGTTACTCCCACATTGACGATGCATAGAAAACGAAGCCAGAGTCGAGGGGTTTCTGCTGTATGTTTCTCGGGTATGCTGAGAACGTTATAGGTTACAGGTTGTTTGACTTGGACGATGCCAAGACGTGTCGGCCGGTCAAGCTAGACGAGCGTAAAGTGGGCGTATATATGGCACACAGTCATCGCAGCTTGGAACGGTCACTCAAACAACTACGGCGCGTGAGGAAGGGAACGTTCCCATACCTGAGGAACGTCAACCAATTATGGATAAACCCATGGAATCTGCCAAGGAACCTGTTCCGAATGTTGAAATGGAGGACGTGGAACCTGAGAAAGAGTCTTTTTGACCCCAACTTCGATCATCTAAACCGGCTAAGATCGGACTGAAACTGGCTGCGTTTCGTCCATCGCCACCAACGTACAAAGCAGATCGCGTGGTATTTTACGCCGAGGCGGCACGCTCGGGGCTTTTAAGATGGCCAGTGCTTCTGCTTGAGGATGGTGTGGACGGTGATGACGAACGGCTGTCTGAGTGGAGTGATGAAATCCCTGCGCATAATCGTGCAAGGATGGTCGAAAAAGGATTGCTTGCAGAGGCTTTTTTGGCACATGGTGCGAGTATCGACGCTCTTCCAGACACAAAAACACGTATGCAGAAGCTGTCGCTAGTGACAAAGCGGATGAATAACGCAAGGCAATGGACGCGGAACTCCTCTCGCATGATCGTAACAATTCGTGGACTCTCGTTCCATTTGATACGGCTACCCGTTCAATTGGGTGCCTTTGGTTGTATTAATCGGCATGACGATACTGGTAGAGAGATCCGCTACAAAGCTCGGCTGGTATCTCAAGGGTTTAAACAGAAATTCGGAATAAACTACTCTAAATCAAATCATTGGTGGCGAAAATTAACCTGATTCGAGTTGTGCTAGCTGTGTGCACGTCAGACAGGTATGTGATGGAGCAGCTGAACGCGATTACAGCGTTCCTACACAGTGGTTTAGTAGACATTGTCTACAGGGAAGTTCCATTTGTGTGAAGAATGCTAAGGGTATGCTGTGCAAACTGGAGAAGAATTTCTATATTTGAAGCAGGCAGCAAGTGCTTGGAACAAGGTAATTTGCCTTGTCTTGTTGCAGAATCTTGTCAAGAGATATGGTCCGAATGAGTGCGTCTATGTGAAGCGTCTTCGGAACGGTTTCTTGTATGTGTGCGTGTATGTGGACAACATGACCATTGCACCTAAGACAAGCAAAGAGATCAAGGACGTTGATGACGCGCTGTAGAATGCATTCACAATGAAGGAGCTGGGACCGGCAAAGTTATATTAAGGATAAAGATTGATAATAAAAAGATGGCTGGGACGCTCATGATGAAGCAGACACGGTCCATTGACGACGTGGTGAAACGCTTCGTTTAAGAGAATGCAAAGCCTGTCGACAACCCATGTGCAGCTGGACTCAGGTTGTCGAAATTGCTGTCACCAGGAACAAATTCAAAGCATAATGCAATGCAATTAAAATCATATCGTTCTTTGATCGGGTGCCTATCGCACGTTAAAACATGTACTCGTCCAGACATTGCGTTCTTGGTCACTCAGCTCTCGCGTTTCAAAGAGAACCCCGGACAGCAACCCTCTAAGGCTGCAGTGTGTGTGCTACGCTACCTGAAAATAGCACATCAGCACGGAATCATCTATAAAAAGTTCCAACGGATATTTTTAAGCTAAAAGCGTACTCGGACGCAGATTGGGGCACGAACAATGACGACAGGCGTTCCGTTTTCGATCATGGCGATGATTGGGAACGCGCCGGTAGTGTCTAAGTTAACGTTCCAGAGGACGGTGGCGCTTACCCCTGCGGAAGCTGAGTACATGGCTTTAAGCCTTGTGTTCGAGAAGTACTGTGGAAGCGTTCAATACTAACACACATGGGGATGCTCCAGCGGAGCGCTACGACAATCTGGGAGGACAACCAGGGTGTGAACGCTATGGTGCAAAACGCTGGCTACCATGCCTGGACCAAGCATGTGGACATTCGTCATCACTTCATCAGAGAGACGATCGAAGCTGGAATAGTTGCGCTATCCTGTGTGGGCACCAAACATCAGTTGGCCGACATCTTAACCAGGGCTCTGGGATTTAAGACGCTCAAGTTTCCTGCGCGATGCGAAAAATATCCAGTGTAAGGTCACCAAGCAGTAGCGGTGATTGAAAGTGTTGATATTTAACCGCTGAACAGGTACGTTTCATGTTGTTAGGATGATAACATATGAGATAAATCATCAAGGAGTTTCATGGTTGTTTATGAGGATTGCGATAAAACAGCTTTACATAAATGCTTAGAGATAGCTCTTAGTAATGAGATTAGAATCTTAAATACACTTACTTCGGCTTTTGCTCCCAAATACTCCTCAATTAATCCCAGGGAGATCACCTCACCACCATTTGCCTCGTCTGGGTAGTTTGCAGCACAACATTCAGCTACAGATGAACACGATATACCGGTATTTCTCGATGTTGCTAAGGCTTACGTTAGAGTGTACAGAGATTACAATTTTTGAGTGCTATCTCGAGTTAATTTCGGTCATCACGCTCGTTTTTTTTGATATGCTGTACCATAATCCTGTGGCCCGCCTTCTTTTAATCCCAGTCTGCTAGCTCTGGTAGGGTACACTCGTGTGGTCAAAAAGGAGACTCACTGGTTGCAGCTGACGCGACTGATAGCAGACGACGCGTTCAACGCCTTCTAGGTCGTACTACATTAATGCACAGCCGATTGCAAAATCGCTGGCATCACAGACCACATGAAATGGCCTGTCCTGATAGGCTATTGCTAGGACTGGGGATTGTATCAAGCTCTGCTTGATACCCTCAAAGGAGCGTTGACATTCAGCGTTCCATAACCACCTCTCGTTCTTTTTCAACAAACGAGAGAGGTGCACAGTCATCTCGGCGTAATTGCGTGAATACTTATGCAAATACGCCGCTAGCCCAAGGAATTTTCGAAGACCTTTGACATCGACCGGCACAGGCCAGTCGGTGATCGCCTTGATTTTTTCGGGATCAGGACGTACACCGTTCTTACCAACGATGCACCCAAGAAGTGGTATTTCGCTTGCTGCAAATATACACTTCTTGAGGTTAGCATACAATTGATGCTTTCGCATGATTGTAAGAACTTGTCAGACGTGGTACCTGTGAACCTCAACATCCGACTTTCCATCCATAGCTCGACTATGGATGTATACGTCATCGAAATAACTCGGCTCGAATTCGCGTACTGGTTTCAACAGATGTGATACACATCTGTTGAACGTGGCAGGGGCATTACTGAGCCCTTGTGGCATTACTAGCCATTCCCAGAGCATGCCGCTAGGCGTGCTAACTGCGGTATAGGGTATATCCCGTTCCCGCATAAGGATTTGATAGAAGCCATCCATCAAATCCATGGACGAAAAGATGGTACTCTTTGACATACCATCAATGATTACGTCCTTCCTCGGTATCGGCGTCTGAGCCGGTACCGTTGCAGCGTTCAATTTGTTGAACGCGTGCACTATCCGCCACCCTCCTGTTGCTTTTCGCACACAGAAGGTCGGAGAGCTATGTGGGGAAGTTGATTCCCTCACATGGCCCGCAGCTAAACGATCGGCAAAGAACTTGTCGATCGCAAGTACTTGTTCACGAGGCAGTGGCCACTGCTTCATGACACAGTACTTCGAGCCTGGTTTAAGCTCTACCTCGTGTCGAATACCTTTATCCTTCGATAATTCGCACGGAACAGTTTCAGGGAATACATCCTTGAATTCAACCAAATCTTCATAGAGAGGATTTGTCTTGAGCGATTCCCATGATTGGGAGTCATATCGCTCAATTCGTGTCTTTTCATCTAGGACAATCTCGTCCATAGATGAACTACTGAGAACTCTCTCGTTCTCAGTGAACACTGTTGCTGACCTTATGTCGGTTACACACTCGTCGTCAGCGACGAGTATGCAGATCTGCTTGACTTTGCCACTACGCAGATCACGCAAGAACCTTTTATGTTCGAGCGTTGGCAACTGAGTGATCTCCGAAGTCAACTTCGGAGGCGCAATCAGATCAAGTGTATAAGCGCCTACACTTGATCCGTTATTGACTATGACATTCAATGTCTCTGTCATTTCCTGGGGACTTATTCCCTCAGGCCTCGAAGGACTTATTCCTTCGGCTTCCCGGGGACTTATTCCCGCGGGTTTCGGGGAACTAATTTCCGCCGTATTTGTAATATCGGGACTTATTCCCGCGGGTTTCGGGGAACTTATTTCCGCCGTATTTGTAATCTTGGGACTTATTCCCTTTACTTCCTCTAGCTGGGGTTGCGCAACCACAGCGAGATCCTCTACGAAAGACTCTCCAGTCGATCTAGGATTATCGTTTCGCTTAACCTGAGCGATCGATTGTTTCTCTTCTAGATGTTCCCCACTAGGGATACATCTTTGTCCCAGTCCACCCGACTTATTCGAGTGGCGGACCTTCGGCGCAGCCTGTGTTTCCTCACAGCCGCCGGAACTTTGCTCCGAAGTGTAACCGTTTGGTACACTAAGGTTTTGTGCAGTCATAATAACGACCGTACCATAAGTGAGGCCATCGCACTCACTCGTAGTACATCCACACGCTTGTGGACGCTCCAAAACGTTCATCAGATGGCCATCTGATGAACAAGCGGCAGGCATCGTTACTGTCCGATGTTGCCAATTTACTCGTGGTTCGTACCTTCTGAGCCACGGTATTCCAAGGATGACATCAAATTTGTCATCCAAATCCAATACGATAAAGTCATCGTCATATTGGGTATCTTCTAGCGTATAGTGGATCTTCACTATACGCTTCATGACGGTTACGGATGCGCCTGTCGCAAGACGTACCGTCATCCTCGTAGGAGGTGTGTCACATTCACTGAATTTAAAGTGACCATCTTCTAGCGATTGGCGTCGCACAAAAATTGTTGGACGCCCCACAATCGACTAGAGCTCGAAGGGACAACTTATTTGTCACTTCGAGTTTCAAGGTAATGAGTGAGATCTCATTACCTAGAGCAGCAACGCACAACGTTTGTGTGTTGGGAGCAACCTTCATCAAGAGGCCTACAAATTCTCTTGACGTTGCTGGATCAGTAGGGTGCTCCGCACCTACTGATCCTGTCCGTTTTTTGACGGTCCATCCCGTTGGTGCGTCTTTGCACCAACTGCGGACCCTCGTCCCTGCCCCTTTCTCATGGGTGGACGGTCACTACGCCCAGTGTCGCGAGACACTGGACGAGGGGCACTACACTCGTAAGCGTAGTGTCCTGTCTTTTGACATCTGTTGCATCTCTGCAACTTCTTGTAGCCTGTAGAGCGAGCCTTCTCGCTTTCTACATAACAGAGTTCCATCGGCTCTGGACCTCCGTTGTCATATCGTCTCGGTTGACGATATGATGTCGAGCTGGCGCGAGCCTGTCTCAGACTGAAGTCTTCCTGCTCCGCAATGGAAATGGCTTGTTCTAGTGAATCTAGTTCAAGCCGGAACAGGTGAGTCTTGACGGGACCATCCGCAAGACCCTGCATGAACACCGAAACCAACGTGTGTTCATCCACCGGATTGGAACTTATACAACTCGTGAGATGTCGTATATGTTGAGCGTAAGCGTGTACATCACGCTTACCCTGCTTGAGCTTCAAGAGTTCGGTTCGAGCTCTGAACTCAGCTCTAGGCGGTTCAAACGTTTGTCTGAGCCGCGACTTGAAGACTTCCAACGACCCAAACGCATATGGGTCGTGCAACTTGAGCCCCAGTGCCCAAGTCTTGGCACGTCCTGCCAGATTTGATTGGGCAAATGCAACTTGCATATCCCCGTCGTCGATGCGACGCGCCCTTATGGCGTCATCCAATTCGACGAACCATCTCAAGAGGGAGTCTTCTTCGACTCCCCTGTACTTGTAGATGTCAATCTTCAAGGTCTCGGGTCGACGCGAGTGCATCGACCCGCCAGCAGCAGCCTGCTGCTGTCTCAACAGTTCAAACTGTTGAGCACCCTGTTCTCTCAACAACTCTGCTTGTTGAGAACCTTGTTGGTGAAGCAAGGCTACTTTCTCGCGTTCTGCGTCAAGTTCATTTTGAATGAACTTGGCGATAGTAGCATGTTGGGCATCTCTATTGAGAGCCTCTAGCATGACGCTAACAGCATGGATGCCCATGGTCGAACCCATCCGTTCAACCGCATCCCATTCGACATCGCTCAAATGGGAGTAGCCGTCACGCGTAGCGTGAAAGCTTTGGTCATCTTCATCATCCAACATATTCATGGTAGATGTGAACGCGGTCCTTGGACGGACTACAAAGTGCTACCAGGTGTAACGGGGCACCCTGAAGCTTGTACTGGTGACAGTACAAGCTACTTATTCTGATGACAGAATAAGGCGGTGCCTCGTAACTTCACGTACACTCGTACGTGCAGAGGAAGACGGTCAGAAGAAGCGAGTACTTGGTTAAAGTAAAAAGTAGAACTGTATTTATCATAGTTAATGTCTGCAATAAATCACTATTTATCTTCATCTAACTATGTCTAAATACAAATGTGTAAATTGATTATCTGCTCACCACTCATTGCGTGCGTCTGTCGTGGCGCGTCTTCGTTGGTTGATATAATGGCCTATATCAACCAATTAGGAACTACTCGTAAGTGCTACAGAATATTTGTCCTTATGACAATATTCTGAGAATATAACTCTTATAGTTCTATTAACAATTTCTTATAAATTGTTATGTAACGATTCACCCCGTTACATCACCCCCCTTAACCATCAGTCACTTTAGTGACTGATTGACTAAATGGATACTCGTCCCAAATCATTTGGGACAGGGTTTGCACTTGTTGGTCCGCGTCCACTTTCCAACATCTCATCGCATGGTTAACAAGCCCATGCGATGCGCGAGCAAGGCCGCCGAGAGCGCGTCTGCACGTCTCTGTGCGGACGCCGAAGCAGAAACAACAGCAACTGATGTCTCATCGGTTGCTGAAGCGACCCAGCCTGTGTCACTTGGTGATGCAGGCGCTGGTCATGAAGACACTCGTGTCTTCACAGAGTACGAGCTCGGTGTCTCGTACTCTCCTGATACGGATGACGGATCCGTATCGACGGCGATTGAATCCAAGCCGCCTGCCAAGCGTGGCATGGACGATGCTTTGCGTCGCAGCATCTTTGGTTCATCTGATTCATCAGATAAACCATCGCCGAAGCGAAGGCGCTCGAGGTCGCGAGACTCGGGCGCTAATAGCGGTGTCGGTTCTCCTATGGACACCACTTCACAGCGAGGTGCCAGTACTTCTGTCGGCACGTCGCAGGAAGAGCGGGATCGCAATGTCTTGCGTCTCGCTCCTGAGAAGAAGGCATGGATGCCTCCAAAATCCGTCATGGATCACTTGTCGGCGACGACGAGTGGTCGCTATCGAACACGATTGTTCGATTCGTCAAGGATCCATCACCTTGACCCCAGCGCGAAAAACTATCGCGCTGAACATGAATTCTTCATCGATGCTTTCTTTAGACATCGATGGTACAGTGGAATCACAAACGTGATGGTCCCTCACTACTTCAGGCGTGGAACGCTTACATCCATAACCTTGAGGATGTAGGTCGTGACGCTTGGAACGACAAACTTATCAAAGCTCGTGATAAGTTTGAAAAGCGAACCCCGACAGGTGCACGCTACAAGCTGCATCGTCTGTCAAGGGAGAAAGGATTACCCTGCCTCTCTTGGGGAGACTCGTGCCCATGTTGTGTGAACAACTCTGCACGAGCACCTAAGGAGGCTTACCTCCTTACCAGCCCGTGGTGGCGCGTACGTGTCTCTACTGAGATGTACGAAGGGATTGACAACCTGAAATCCCTTTACGACCGTGCCGGGAAGACTTTCTCCTGCGTTCCTTCTGTGGCACAGGATGTGCCGCGTCGTACTGCTCAACCAGACCCAGTACGTCGATCATCAGTTGGGAGCGGGGCTCCCAAGAATCCCAGGACGGGGGATAGCCGCGCCACCGGACGAGATAACTCGTCCGACGTCCGTTCACGTCGCGGTGGTTCAACAGCTGCTCAACTAGATAGCGCTGGCCACCGCGAGAGTCCTCTAATGGAGGTGGAGGAGGAGGAAAGACGCTCTCCACACGATCATGTGGATCGGTGTGTACCCGAGAGCTTCTTTGATCGCGTAACGCAAGGGTTACGCGACGATCTCGAACATGAGCGGAATAGGCGTCTCCAAATGGCGGACACTGCCTCGAAGCATCGAGCTGAGTTTGCCTTTGCTCAGCTTGAGAACGAGAGATCTCTGACATCTCTTCGTGACGAGCTAAGGGTAGCTCGTGGGATTGCTGATCGGTCTCGGGATGAGATAGCTGCTCTTCAGACCCTTGTTGATGCCCACCATCGGGAGCACAAGGCTCTCTGCGAGATGCTTGAGCGCAAGGGCGTTCTTCATCGGAAGAAGCAGCGTACTGATGTTACGGCTTAAGCCGACCAACGTAAAACGTGGGATGCGTTCGCATCTTACGTGGTAACTCGATCGTGTATGCATTGCCTAGGCGGTGCAATACACGAAATGGGCCAATGTACTTGGGTAGTAGTTTACTGCTACCCAAGTTAGTCACTACATGCTTTGGTAGATTAACCGTAGACAGTAGGACTAAGTCACCTTTATTAAATAAAAGAGTGTTTGCCCTTCCATTCTTGTCAGCGTTTTGCTTTTGCTTATCCACCGCTTCGGCGATGGAGTCTTGCACAAAACGGACTACCGTTTCACGAGCCAGTATGAACTCATCTGCTGACTCGTTGGCTTCAGTGCGCTGTGAGCGCACTGCAGCAACATCAACCTTTTCTTCAGTGAGGGCTTCCGCACTCTCACTGGCATCAACTTCTTCGACATCGATGTTATCGATATCGGCATCAAACGCAATGACTTCTTCGTCAGAGCGTGATGAGCGTGAACCAATTCGGTTTTTGCTCGCGCGAGTCCCTCCCCCCCTTAAACCAGAGTTACACTCTAGTAAGGTGGGTACACGCAGATGGCGCAAGCCATTCACGTAAAACGGTGTATGTGTCGTGGACGCATGCACCGAGTTGTTGATGGCAAACTCTACCATTGGCAAAAACTCACTCCAACTCTTAAAGGAGTGTACGTATCCTCGAAGTATCTCTTCAAGGACACGATTGGCACGTTCCGTCTGACCATCTGACTCTGGATGATCAGATGTTGACATCTTCAAGCGCGTTCCGAGTGATTTGAACACGGAACGCCAGAAATCAGCAGTGAATAGTGGATCTCTGTCTGATACGAGTTCACGGGGCAACCCATGAAGTCGGAAGATGGTGTCGATAAAGGCACAAGCACAGCCACTTGCCGTGATTGTCTCTGGTACAGCCACAAGGTGTACCATTTTGCTGAATCTGTCAACAAATACGAGAATACCCGTATTCCCGCGTGCGTCTTTGGGTAACCCGAAGACGAATTACAGCGAGATGGATTCCCAACACTCTGACGGAACTGGTAGACGCTGTAAAGGTGCACGCAGTGAAGGACTTGACTTCACTCGCTAACAGACTTCGCATGCGCAAACATACTTGCGCACAAACTGATACTGGCGGGGCCAGTAAAAGTCTCGACTTACCGTGAGATATGTTTTCTCCCGGCCACGATGTCCTCCTATAGGAGCATCGTGATACTCAAACATGATCCGCAAACGCATATCAGTATCAACTGGAATGACAACACGTGGTGTGTCACCAGAAACGGCTGTATAATACAGTAAACCGTTGTGAGTAGTGTATCGATCTGATGCAGATCGATACGCAGACGATAATCGTTTCAACGATTCTCGAGATGGTTGTGAGAGGTGTGTCAACAACTTCACTATCTCACCATCTTGGGCGTATGCCCGCCTCACATCATCATACAACGTTGTAGATGGGACTGAGGACGTCATAACCGCAACAGTGACTGTCTCACTGTTGGGTTTCGCGACTGTTTCAAAGTCGGGACGACGTGAGAGTGCATCAGCGACGACATTAAGCCGTCCTGGTGTGTACTCGACCGTAAAGTTGTATTCTGCAAATAATGACAACCACCTCGCCATTCGTTGTGAAAGGTGCGGGCTGTTCACTGCCGTGCGTAAGGACGCATGGTCAGTGTAAACAACGAAGGGTCTATTTCCTAATAGATAGACTCTAATCTTCGCGAGTGCATACTTCATGGCAAGGAGTTCCTTGTCATGCACTGGATAGTTCCGCTCAGCTGGTTGCAGCTGACGCGACTGATAGCAGACGACGCGTTCAACGCCTTCAAGATCGTACTGCATTAATGCACAGCCGATTGCAAAATCGCTGGCATCACAGACCACATGAAATGGCCTGTCCTGATCGGCTATTGCTAGGACTGGGGATTGTATCAAGCTCTGCTTGATACCCTCAAAGGAGCGTTGACATTCAGCGTTCCATAACCACCTCTCGTTCTTTTTCAACAAACGAGAGAGGTGCACAGTCATCTCGGCGTAATTGCGTGAATACTTATGCAAATACGCCGCTAGCCCAAGGAATTTTCGAAGACCTTTGACATCGACCGGCACAGGCCAGTCGGTGATCGCCTTGATTTTTTCGGGATCAGGACGTACACCGTTCTTACCAACGATGCACCCAAGAAGTGGTATTTCGCTTGCTGCAAATATACACTTCTTGAGGTTAGCATACAATTGATGCTTTCGCATGATTGTAAGAACTTGTCAGACGTGGTACCTGTGAACCTCAACATCCGACTTTCCATCCATAGCTCGACTATGGATGAATACGTCATCGAAATAACTCGGCGCGAATTCGCGTACTGGTTTCAACAGATGTGATACACATCTGTTGAACGTGGCAGGGGCATTACTGAGCCCTTGTGGCATTACTAGCCATTCCCAGAGCATGCCGCTAGGCGTGCTAACTGCGGTATAGGGTATATCCCGTTCCCGCATAAGGATTTGATAGAAGCCATCCATCAAATCCATGGACGAAAAGATGGTACTCTTTGACATACCATCAATGATTACGTCCTTCCTCGGTATCGGCGTCTGAGCCGGTACCGTTGCAGCGTTCAATTTGTTGAACGCGTGCACTATCCGCCACCCTCCTGTTGCTTTTCGCACACAGAAGGTCGGAGAGCTATGTGGGGAAGTTGATTCCCTCACATGGCCCGCAGCTAAATGATCGGCAAAAAAACTTGTCGATCGCAAGTACTTGTTCACGAGGCAGTGGCCACTGCTTCATGACACAGTACTTCGAGCCTGGTTTAAGCTCGACCTCGTGTCGAATACCTTTATCCTTCGGTAATTCGCACGGAACAGTTTCAGGGAATACATCCTTGAATTCAACCAAATCTTCATAGAGAGGATTTTTCTTGAGCGATTCCCATGATTGGGAGTCATATCGCTCAATTCGTGTCTTTTCATCTAGGAACACTCTCGTCCATAGATGAACTACTGAGAACTCTCTCGTTCTCAGTGAACACTGTTGCTGACCTTATGTCGGTTACACACTCGTCGTCAGCGACGAGTATGCAGATCTGCTTGACTTTGCCACTACGCAGATCACGCAAGAACCTTTTATATTCGAGCGTTGGCAACTGAGTGATCTCCGAAGTCAACTTCGGAGGCGCAATCAGATCAAGTGTATAAGCGCCTACACTTGATCCGTTATTGACTATGACATTCAATGTCTCTGTCATTTCCTGGGGACTTATTCCCTCAGGCCTCGAAGGACTTATTCATTCGGCTTCCCGGGGACTTTTTCCCGCGGGTTTCGGGGAACTAATTTCCGCCGTATTTGTAATCTTGGGACTTATTCCCTTTACTTCCTCTAGCTGGGGTTGCGCAACCACAGCGAGATCCTCTACGAAAGACTCTCCAGTCGATCTAGGATTATCGTTTCGCTTAACCTGAGCGATCGATTGTTTCTCTTCTAGATGTTCCCCGCTAGGGATACATCTTTGTCCCAGTCCACCCGACTTATTCGAGTGGCGGACCTTCGGCGCAGCCTGTGTTTCCTCACAGCCGCCGGAACTTTGCTCCGAAGTGTAACCGTTTGTTACACTAAGGTTTTGTGCAGTCGTACTAACGACCGTACCACAAGTGAGGCCATCGCACTCACTCGTAGTACATCCACACGCTTGTGGACGCTCCAAAACGTTCATCAGATGGCCATCTGATGAACAAGCGGCAGGCATCGTTACTGTCCGATGTTGCCAATTTACTCGTGGTTCGTACCTTCTGAGCCACGGTATTCCAAGGATGACATCAAATTTGTCATCCAAATCCAATACGATAAAGTCATCGTCATATTGGGTATCTTCAAGCGTATAGTGAATCTTCACTATACGCTTCATGACGGTTACGGATGCGCCTGTCGCAAGACGTACCTTCATCCTCGTAGGAGGTGTGTCACATTCACTGAATTTAAAGTGACCATCTTCTAGCGATTGGCGTCGCACAAAATTGTTGGACGCCCCACAATCGACTAGAGCTCGAAGGGACAACTTATTTGTCACTTCGAGCTTCAAGGTGATGAGTGAGACCTCATTACCTAGAGCAGCAACGCACAACGTTTGTGTGTTGGGAGCAACCTTCATCAAGAGGCCTACAAATTCTCTTGACGTTGCTAGACCAGTAGGGTGTTCCGCACCTACTGATCCTGTCCGTTTTTTGACGGTCCATCCCGTTGTTGCGTCTTTGCACCAACTGCGGACCCTCGTCCCTGCCCCTTTCTCATGGGTGGACGGTCACTACGCCCATTGTCGCGAGACACTGGACGAGGGGCACTACACTCGTAAGCGTAGTGTCCTGTCTTTTGACATCTGTTGCATCTCTGCAACTTCTTGTAGCCTGTAGAGCGAGCCTTCTCGCTCTCTACATAACAGAGTTCCATCGGCTCTGGACCTCCGTTGTCATATCGTCTCGGTTGACGATATGATGTCGATCTGGCGCGAGCCTGTCTCAGACTGAAGTCTTCCTGTTCCGCAATGGAAATGGCTTATTCTAGTGAATCTAGTTCAAGCCGGAACAGGTGAGTCTTGACGGGACCATCCGCAAGACCCTGCATGAACACCGAAACCAACGTGTGTTCATCCACCGGATTGGAACTTATACAACTCGTAAGATGTCGTATATGTTGAGCGTAAGCGTGCACATCACGCTTACCCTGCTTGAGCTTCAAGAGTTCGGTTCGAGCCCTGAACTCAGCTCTAGGCGGTTCAAACGTTTGTCTGAGCCGCGACTTGAAGACTTCCAACGACCCAAACGCATATGGGTCGTGCAACTTGAGCCCCAGTGCCCAAGTCTTGGCACGTCCTGCCAGATTTGATTGGGCAAATGCAACTTTCATATCCCCGTCGTCGATGCGACGCGCCCTTATGGCGTCATCCAATTCGACGAACCATCTCAAGAGGGAGTCTTCTTCGACTCCCCTGTACTTGTAGATGTCAATCTTCAAAGTCTCGGGTCGACGCGAGTGCATCGACCCGCCAGCAGCAGCCTGCTGCTGTCTCAACAGTTCAAACTGTTGAGCACCCTGTTCTCTCAACAACTCTGCTTGTTGAGAACCTTGTTGGTGAAGCAAGGCTACTTTCTCGCGTTCAGCGTCAAGTTCATTTTGAATGAACTTGGCGATAGTAGCATGTTGGGCATCTCTATTGAGAGCCTCTAGCATGACGCTAACAGCATGGATGCCCATGGTCGAACCCATTCGTTCAACCGCATCCCATTCGACATCGCTCAAATGGGAGTAGCCGTCACGCGTAGCGTGAAAGCTTTGGTCATCTTCATCATCCAACATATTCATGTTAGATGTGAACGTGGTCCTTGGACGGACTACGAAGTGCTACCAGGTGTAACGGGGTACCCTGAAGCTTGTAGTGATGACAGTACAAGCTACTTATTCTGATGACAAAATAAGGCGGTGCCTCGTAACTTCACGTACACTGGTACGTGCAGAGGAAGACGGTCAGAAGAAGCGAGTACTTGGTTAAAGTAAAAAGTAGAACTGTATTTATCATAGTTAATGTCTGCAATAAACCACTATTTATCTTCATCTAACTATGTCTAAATACAAATGTGTAAATTGATTATCTGCTCACCACTCATTGCGTGCGTCTGTCGTGGCGCGTCTTCGTTGGTTGATATAATGGCCTATATCAACCAATTAGGAACTACTCGTAAGTGCTACAGAATATTTGTCCTTATGACAATATTCTGAGAATATAACTCTTATAGTTATATTCTATTAACAATTTCTTATAAATTGTTATGTAACGATTCACCCCGTTACAGTCCAATCCCGTCCCATTCTGCGCGGGACAAAGCCCTACTAATAGCTTTACCGTTCGGGCTCGCAATAATCCACTAGGATTAAATATGGGTTTTGGCAGGACGGGTACGAATCCAAGAGATTTGGTATGATAATATCAATATCCAAGAGCAAGGATAATTTCTGATTGTCACCTCGAAGTTCGAACACGGCAGTTCGTAAACGTCGTTTTTCACGACTAAGTGCGAAAAAAGGGTTTTGAACCCGTTGAGATAAACATACAAACGACAAGTACAAAAAGCGCAGCATAGCCCCTTCTCGACGTCGTCAAGGCCGCAAGAATCTCTCGCACCCGGTGCGACGTAAGGCCCCAGTCGATTCTGCTGTCAAGAAACGAACGGAATGTCTGGTGACTCAACGACACAGTGTCAGGATACAGCCACGTGCACCCTCCCAGGCGAACCGTTGGGCATAGACGTGGCCGCGCCCCAGCTCAGCCAGTACATCGTGATGATCGTAGGGCTGGTGCTGTCCGTCGTCTTCGTCCGCGTACTGTTTACTGTGTTCCCCGTGTGTGCCAAGCCTTTGGGCTTTCGAACTCTTAGTGACAAGCCTAACGCCGCACGCAGCGTCAAAGCCTTCGAAAAGGAGCCCACTAAGGTGCGGCTGACGAGCGTGCGCAACCGCCTTGAGCGCGACACCCGCATGCGGCTTCCACGTCGCTCCACGTACTACTCGATGCCCTTTTTTGCTGATACGATGGCGAATAAGCAGGAGTTTGTGGAGAGTCTTGTGGAGCTTGGAGATGCGCCGATGGACGGTTGGCTGCTCGTCAAGAAAGGGCTGCAACGAGGCAAACACTGGAAGAAACGTTTTGTTGTGCTGGATGCGAACGCGAGGGTGAAGTATTTCCCGAACGTCGACGCTGCGAAACGGAACATGAATGCCAAAGGCTCATTGGCCGTGCACGCAGTAAAACCCGCAGACCCATTTGAGTTTGGAGCGAACACGCTCGAGGTGAGAGGCACACTGGGGGGCACGTATTTTTTTAGAGCGGAAGACGATATGGCCACGCGCTCGTGGTTGTGTGTGCTGACTATGCGCGCTATCCAAGGCCACGTGCCAGGGCGCATTGACAGTATGCTCAGTGCTGCAGTGGCTCCGGTTTCACCCCAACAAGCAACATTGGCGGCAACTATATCTGCTGCACCGTCAGCAACATTAGCGATGAAGATGCATTCGATTTCTGACTTGAACCAAAGTGGCTTCAATGCAATGAATGTCGCAGCTGGCGCGATAAACATGCTGAGCAGTACCGAAGATGACGTTGAAGTCCCCCCCGTGCAGTTGAAATCGCATGCGCTGGAGCTAGTGGTGCAGGATATGAGCTATGACAAAGACGCGTCGCTGCGTCAATTTTACGTGGTGGCCAAGTTCAAGTCCGAGCTTCATGATTTTTCTGGTGTGCCCGTTGGCCAAACTTCTCCTAAGCCAAGAGGTGAAAAGGGCGAAAAGGGGGCTTTAGTCAAGTGGAACGAAAAACTTGCATGGACTTTTCAGGATCATCTGTGCTCGGATTGCCACGAATGCCGCGCGTTAGGAGCCCTTTCCGGTGCGTTTTGTGGTTTGCCTGATATTGTAATGCTGCATGTGTACGAGATCCATCTGCGCTACCTGACCACAAAAATTGGCGAAGTTTCTTTGTCCCTTTGTGAAATGTTGGGCTTCACGGGTATGCGGACCGCGCAATATACATGTGCATGGCCTGTTACGTCAAGTCGCGATGCTATTCTTGGTCAATTGATGCTTTCGCTGAAGTACTCCGTCGAAACCGCAGGCGGTGCAGAGCTGATGCAATTCCTTGTGACGTCTGCTGCCGAACGCGAGCTGGTGGGCGAATATCCCATCCACTCAAAATTGGCAAGCGCGAGCGACTTCTTCGAAACTTTCCTAGCAAATGGCACGCTAGACCGTTTAAGCGAATACTACAAGGAGCGCGGTGACACAGAGATTGAAGTAAGCGACTGGGCCCCTTCAAAGGAGTTTGGTGGGCAAGTGCGTACCATGAGCTGCCGGTCACCGACGAATGCATCCATTGGTCCTTCTCATACCATGACAACTACGACCGACCACGTACCATTTGACGAGGGAGGCCTGAATGTCAACGAGAAGCTTGTTGTGCAGTCAAAAGTTGTTATGCACGACATTCCCTACGGCGATTGTTTTTCGGTCGAGAAAGTTACTGTTGTGGAGCGAGCTCCATCTAGCGATGGAAGCCTGGGGCAGCTTGTGGCCAAAGTTTATCTGGGTGTTCCATTTTCAAAGGGCTGTATGTTTAAGTCTAAAATTATCTCGGCGACACGCGAAGCAATGAGTAGCTCTTCGCGATTATACTTTCATATGGTAGACTGCTCGATGGATAATTCAAACTCTTCAGCAGCTGCTGCGCCAGCAAAACCATTTTTGACATCCAGCGTTGAGGAAAGACACTTTATAGGTGAATACGAAGTGCACCCGAAGATAAACGACGCCCTGCACTTCTTCGACCTCTTATACGCCGACGGTACACTGTCACGATGGCAGAGTATTTACAAGGAGACGGGAGACTCAGAACATGTGGTCGGCAAGTGGGAAGACTCGGCAGAGTATGGCGGTCAACTGCGCGAGATCAAGTACCGGGCTAAAAGCACTTCACCGCTTGGACCGTCTTCAACAATGGCAGAACAAATTGTGCACGTTCCGTTTTCGGCTCGCGATCGCGACAAGGTGGATGCAGATCGACTCGTGATCGAACATAAGCTGACACTCCTTGAGATACCTTATGGGGACTGCTTCCACGTCGAGACAGTATACATAATTGAGCCGCGCACCGATGCTACCGGCGCCCCCATTGTTGCAAGGGTGTATATCGGAATCCCGTTTTCGAAAAACACTATTTTTAAGTCGAAGATTGTGTCCGCCACAAAAGAAGGAGTCGTGAGAAGCTCAAAGATAATCTTTGAAGGGCTTAGAAAGGCAATAGATGCGGAGGAATCGAGCGATGCGCCGGGGGAAGCCCGCCTTGACAGTAGTGCTGGTCACGAAAATGTGAAGTATGGCCGTCCGGCGAGAAGCTTATCGACAGGGGTTATTCCAAACCGGCGCCCAAGCATTACGCGCTACAACAGCACCCTTGATGGAAGCGTAGGACTCGAGGAGATTTTCGAAAACCAGCGGGTTAGCATGTTTGGAAAATGGGCACCCAATCACCTATTACCTACAGACCGCCCTCGCTTCTCCAACCAAGAAGGTGACAAGAAAATGAGTTTTGAGCAGGTCTCACTACCCCTTCACTGGAGCTGGACAACTCCGTGGCTTATCGACAAGAGTTACACTGATTGTGACGATGAAGGCTGGAGTTACGCCACAGATTTTCCGCGTTTTAAGTTTCACCTGGCTCGGGGGAAGTCGAGCATGAAGCGTCTAGGAGCGTCCGTGCGCCGCCGCCGCTGGATCCGTATGATGGCATATGTGCCACCCGATACTACATCCGACACTGCGAGTCCATTACCTGCTGGTAGCGACGCAATTCGCCGGAATCGTAGCCGCGGTAGTCAAGGAAGTAGCAGTAGCTCGATGAGCTCCAAGGTTCTTGATGATCAGGTGCAGTAACTATCGATTTCGGTAGCAGAACTGTCGAATGAGACTCGTAGGTCCCACCAGCCAAATGTTAACAATTTCGTACTACAATGCTGCTTGACAACTACCCGGCAAGTTAAAGTTTCGCGCACATTCGAAGCCTACAATAAAGTCAACACCAACAAGAGCCATGTTCCGACTCCGAGTGTTTATCTGATTAGCTGCTGTTGACGCCGAGTCAGTACGAAAGTTCTGGAAGGAAGTTTTGATTTGCAACGTGCAGACTTGTGAGCAGCTCGCTTGATTGTGCTATTATCTGGCTGCCTACAATATTCATGCCAAAGTTAAAAATTAATTATTTTAACACCTTTATCGAATTTACTACCGTGATTTACATCCAGCACCAATGCAACTAAATAAAATGGATACTTAAGAATGCCCCGGATAATTAGAAAATAAAAAAATGCCCAGGATAATGAGAAACTAAAAAAAGGGAAATACTTGATCACCGGTACCTTCTTGTTCCGACGTCTGCAGTTTTACCCATTTATACTACAATTAACCAAGGGAAACGTTTTTTAGCCACCACCCTTTCGTTAATCAGCCACCACCCACTAATAATTATTATATTTTCATATTAATTTTAAAAAGGAAATGGTTAAATTCACACCCCTTTTCCTTAGATTCACACCCTTCCTAAAAAATCTCCGATTCATTTTAATACATCCGACGCGCGAGCTCGGGAAGTACACGAAGCCGACGAGGTACGTTTGCCGTACCCATCTACGTAACCTCCTTTGGGTATTGACTTTGCTGTCGTTTAGGCTGTACCCGAGCTGTCCATGGGAGCTCAAGATTGCGCGCCGTCTGATCGTCGACCGCAAACTGGCGCCGCGCTTTCATGGCAAAGAGATGCAGGAGGAGGGATTCACTTTCGAGTGTCCGATCTGCTTTATGGTGAGAGAGAGAGACGGGAGGAGACTGCTAAGGTGGACCATCTAATGACCGGTTGGCGCTGCATGACGTTACGTTGTTTCTAGCTCTACCCCGGGAGTCTGAACACGTCGAGCTGCTGCAAGAAACCCATTTGCTCCAAGTGCTATCTTCAGATTCGGCCGCCACGCAAAACGATTTCGTGCGTGACGACAGTTTTCTATCCAGAGACTCGAGATTGATGGATTCTGACTCACCTGTCTTTTGTGTGGACTGTCTGTAGCTGTCCATTGTGCAACCATGAAGGGTTCACTGTCCTGTACACGCCACTGACACCGACAGAGCTCACCTCGACCCATTCCGTGACAGTAAGCGCAGCCCCTGATTCTCTTCTTTCTCTGTGCGATTATTTGCTGAGCCTCATGTTTTGTATTACATTGTAGAACGGAACGTCTCCGCGTCGAAGTAGCGCCATTGGTATCCCCAAAGCTACAGAAAAAGAGTGCACTATGACGTCAAGTCTGCAGAGTGTGCAGTACGCGTCAGTGGAAGACCATGATCGGATGCGCGATTCGCTTCGCTTGCAGCTTAGCATCAGCGACAAGCTTGTGACCAGCAGTCCACACCCGAATCGTGTCGCAGCGCTGAATGATGCAGCGTTCTGCTTTGCGACAACACCCGCAGACGCTGCGCGGCTAGAGGAACTAATGCTCTTGGAAGCTATCCGGCGGTCGATGCAAGATATTAGCGTCGAAAAAACGACGAGGAATGAGGGAAATGGCAGAATTTTCGGCTACCTAACAACGTGAGTGGAGATGCCGGTGAAGGGCTTGACTGCAATGTCGGCTGTGCTAACGGTGTGGTGCTGAACGCATCTCAACTCAGCGTTAACGCCCGAGATGTGCTATACTATCCCTCCAGCTCATTCACATCTCACTACCGCAATAATGCTGCGCCCCCAGTGCAATCGTCTAACACATCGAGTTGGTATAGCGTTAGCGATTGAAGTTAGGTGTCGTAAGGCTTGGTGCAGACAGAGATGCTTCAGGTAACGGTGGTGCTCACGGCTGTGTAAAGATGGGTGACGTGCTGGGAGTAGTAGTAATGGGCGTACGAACGAAGTGAAAGAAGGGCAAGGACGCGGACGAGTACGAAAACGGTATGCTCGTTAATTATTTAAAGTCGCCATGCTCAGTTTATCATAGTCATCCATAAGTTTTACGATAGCAGAGTCATCACATTGGATTTGGCGTGTACATTTTCAATACATCAGGCGTCTCTCTAGCTGTTGCTCTGCAAGTTCGATAATGTAATTGACGGTTGGCTGAGAATACTCACGCCTGTGGTTACTGTGACCACAGGCGTGAGTAGTATCTCAGTATTTCTTACGCATTACTTGCCAATAAATGGCCTAGAAATCGAGTATACCTTTGTCAGAAAATAAATCTTAAATGAACAGGAATTTTATATATAAGATTTTGAAGGAAGGGTGTGAATCTAAGGAAAAGGGGTGTGAATTTAGCAATTCCCTTTTAAAAAATGTGCATTTCATTGGATAAATGTTAGGCTGGGTTTTTTCAAGCTCGAATCTTTTTTATTATCACACCTATGTTCGCTTTTCGTGTGCTGTCATCTAAATTAATACCAGGTTTGTTTATTCACTGCTGACCTCTATATAAAGTATCGGGCCACCGCCCAGATTGCGTACGATTATGTAGGAAGTAAAGGCAGCAATTATAACCCGTGCAGAACAACAAAGCTATGTCGTAGCAGCCAAACGGACAAATATTTTAAGGAATACAAATGTGATGCCATAAAACATTATTTCACCCTGCTCCAGTGGAACCGCTAAGCGATACGAAAATGACTCCATTGACGTGCTTCTGCCAGGCCTAGCACTAGGTATTTGCTCCGGGCTAGGTGAAGTTCACCTATCCCGTTTTGTTTCGCGTCAATTGCGACTCATAAGGTTTGACAAACTACTTAATGACACTAACATCTACATTCTTTAGCTCGTGATGCCGATCCCTTGTCATGAACTAGCATATCCTAGCACATTTCCTTGGTCTCATGCAAGGACCACTTGTCTATCTCCGTAGATAGCAGCCCGTGAAGCAATAGATTCGGTCTATTTATACTAGCTTTATGTGCCCACGCGGAAGTAAAACTTGAATTATCACGCTTTACTCGTCTAGAAGAACCTGGACATATCCTTCTTGCTCGTCTGTTAGCCACAAAATTAAAAACATCAGTCTATAGACGTAGTGTTGCCACCCATATAGATCGAACGCAAGACATCCTTCTAGTTTAATAGCACCCATCTTTTTATATTGCAAAATTGTGATCAAAGGATTTTACAACGTTGTATGTTTGCGCGGCCACTTGAATACATGATTTTACAAAATGAATGGATCATATAACAATTATCGGATGGTGGTGGCTGATTAACGAAAGGGTGGTGGCTGGAAAACGTTTCCACTGATCAAACCTATACTCAATTAGAAATCAGTCGTTTGCTGCTCTTTAAAACACACGTGTATTTGTTGAAACCACTTTTACATTTTTCATCATTTAATCGTCACCTTCTTCTTTTTTTTTGCTGAAGTCGAGACTACATGGTCTTTTTGTATCGTTATTACATTTCGTTTTCTTGGTGCTCACTGTATTCTTAACCGTGACCCACATAGTCTCTTGCGGCGTGGAGGATCAGGTCCGAGCGTGTGTCCAGCGCAACGAAACATGCTACGAAGTCAAGAAACTAGAATCGGCTCGAACACCAGCTCCACGTGCTCAAACTTGACAGTAGTTGCTGCGTTAAAAGCACCTGTCTAGTGGGTATTTGATTGACTTAGTTACCGAATACATTACCTGACGTATTCAGTAACTAAGTCAATTAATTGTTCCACGTCGCTGGCAGAAAAGAAGCCATTACTATCATCGACGCTATTCGGAAGTCAAGAAGAAGACAGGGCCACGTATCCTTTACGCGGGTAACCCTATCGTCACGAGCGTAATCTATTTCTTAGAATTTTTAAGGTATTAACTGAGCAAATATACAGCATTTTACCCGATAAATTAATAGGAACTTCTGCTCACCGTCACAACTAGAGACGTGTGGTCGAGAGCATAAAGGAACTGTCATGTTTCTTTTCTCTTGATCCTCAGCCTTGTAGTTGACCGCGTTTTCGTAGCTTTCTTCTCACGAAGCGCAGCATTTTCTAACCATGCTGGAAAAATTGCGCTCCTTCATCCCTTGGTGGGTGTACTTGTGTAAATGCTGCAATTTGAAAATCTCGCCCTTGAGTTCCTCCATGCGTCTTTGTGTCTACCTGCTGGCGCACCTTTGCATGGTTTTTTCGTTAGATATTAAACTTTATATTTACAATCAAGAAGCGATTGAACGAAACCATAAATCGATGAATAAATGTAAGAACTGATTTTGGCAAATACCTGTATATTTTGAAGAGCGGCAATCGATTTATTTCTAATTGAGTACATGTTCAGATAATCGTACAATATATAGATAAAACTGCAGGTGACGGAACAAGAAGTTGCGGCGATCGAGTGATTCCTAAAAAATATCCCACGTCCTAGTACATCCTAAAGTGAATGTGTAGCACATTAAATCTGCAGTTTCAGTCATTTTTTAAAGCCCTTTTTGGCCGTGCTCAATCCCCGCCTTGTGGGGGATCCGCGGGAGGGGGGGGGTTCTGTCGCGAGCGTGCTGCACCCACAGCCACCAGTTGTGGGCGCAGACGGGCACATGGAAGACGTGAACGCGTCATCATATCGGCGTCTGCGGCTGTAAACGTAGACAGTCGGTACTGATGCTGTTGTCAATAAAAGTACAGTTTATAGCTTGCTATTTTACTTGTTTTTTTTACTGTAATTATTGTTTTTGCAGTATCAGCTGCTGCTATTTTAATGCTGGTGTCATTGTTGCTGCTAGTGCCGTTTTTTAGCTTTTGTTACGGTTTGTTATTTTTTTGCTCATGATGCTTTTTTTGATGCTGCTGATGTTAATACTACTGCTGCCACTACTGATTTTGTGTTTGTTATATTTGTCGCTGCTCCTGTTGCTTTTGCTAAAACTTGTGTAGCTGTTGTTTTTTTGCTACTTCTGCTGTTGCTACTACCGTTCGTGTTCTTAGTGTTCAAATTTGTTGATTCGATGTGATATGTTGAAGGCAAATTTTGAAGTGAATGTTTTCAGGTCTTTGATCTGAAATTTCTTCTTTCGAGTCTAAGCCTACAGGAATATCACACTACGCATTTGTAGTCACTATATCTTGCACTAGCAATCACCACATCGCGCGTCACGAATCGTCCAGTTGTGACTTAATAATTGTTTGGACATATAATCGATTGCCTCTTGCATACCAAGGCACTTCTCTGAAAACATTTACAACCATACTTGTGTCGATAGTAATCATGTCCTTAATCGTATACGCAATAGGCGGTGTTTTCTCAACCCTTCTACTCACTTCTATTGTCTAGTGTGCTCAAGTCTGACGCAACTAGACTGCCCAGTAGGCATATGATTCGTTTGGTCCCTAGAGCCTTCGCTAGCGTCTCTGTAATTTTGTCCACCGTAGAGATGTAGTGGACGACAATGTCATATTGAGCCACGTCCTCCCAGATAAACTGATGACTAATTCCGACATGTTTGGTCCTGGTATTGTGTCCTACATTGCTGGCAAGTCCAATTGCCCCCTAATATCTTTTCATATAAATGTCGCTTCCGCTTACTCATGAATATTTCTGAGACATTTTATGAAAAAGAGCACTTCTTGGGTACATTGTTTTAAAGCCTTAAAGTTGCCTCCCTTAAACTAATGCTACTTTTAACTAATTCTTTGTCTCGGAACGACTGGCGCGCCACCAGCTATCGTTGTTGTCCCCGAAAATGGTCTTCGGTCATTGATCTTACATTCTTCGCCCGAATCTGTGTACGTTGTAGTTTGCATCTTACTGGTGCTACCGTCGTAGGTGATCACGCAGTTCTTCGTCATATTAAGTAGCGTAGTACGCAAATCGGGGCGATCCAATATTGTTGCACATGTTTTTCAGTAACCGCTACAGCTGATTGACTACATTTCAGTACACGTAAAGGTTGCTGTATTTTGCATAACAAGATCAAAACCTTGAAAAATTAACAATTGAAAGAAATTAAAAGTTTACAAATAAGTTATGTTCGATTCTTTATTATCAAAATATAATGATTGCTTTTTAATTTGTAAAAATTGTCTAGGGGGTGACTTTTAGTCATATAATTTTTGAATTTTTACAATTTTAACTAAGTTTTCATCAATTTTTTATGTGGATTTTTAAAAGATGCACACAAAATAAATCAATTCTTTATTTTTGATGCTTTTTAAATCGAATGAAAATATCCGAATCACGATCTGTACAGCATCATTTTCAATTTTAATCTGTTGTAGTACTTTGTCGACGATCTTCATGAACTATGCCGTTCATGCCTCGACAGTCTATACTCTGTTCCACTTGAGCGGCCACACATCCCCCGGGTTCCATTATTGCTATTACGACGTAATTTAGGGCTAAAGGGGGGAGATGTGGCCAACCAGCAAGCTAATTCAATCCTTTTACATTTCAAAAATACATTATCGCTCTCCTCACAACGCGATTGAACATCTTAAGACATGCGCGTGACGCAATGGATAGTAGACAAGACAAAAAAGGAACAAACGAATGCTAAATGCAGAAGCTGGATTAAAAGTTACTAGATTGGTGACCAAGTCTTACTGAACGCTTAGAACCTACCCCGAATGCTATACATCATGTGTTT